TTCCTTATCCTTACAGTGCGTTAGGACAAACTTCAGACTGCACCCTATAGCGGACTCAGCTAAATAGAACCACGGTAGCCTGAGTGGGGATCTAAAGCTGCAGTCAGGTTCCCTTTTTGGGTGTCATAGCAATGGTCTTGAAATAAAAACAGGGTTTCTATTTGAACTTGGTCCTGAAGCAAAGTGGTGCCTGCTCAGTTTTGCAGCTAAAGGAACTCAATGCCTTAATTTAAGTGCAAACATTCCACATGGAATCTATCTGGTTAGGCATTGATTTCCTCCATTCAGGTGACTTTCTAGCCTATGTGGATATAAAGGCTACCTGCTGGCATATCTCTAGCTTTCAAGTACATCAACCCTACCTGCATTTTGCTGAGGGCATGCATCCCTATCAGTTCATTGCCCATCCCTTTGATCTGTCTACTGCACCTTAAGCCTTCACTAAGGTGCTAGTACCTGTACTTGTGCTGCTTTGTTCACATGGCATACCCATAATGAGATACTTTAACACTCTTCTCCTGAGGAAACAGTGAGCACAGGGATTGCCTGTCAATATCGATCAAACTGTTCAGAATATGCAGAGATCCAGTTGGGTCCTGAGATGTGACTGCTGTGGATTGTCTGCTATGTTGACTGAATGTTGTCAAGTGACCCCGGATAGTATGTATATGTCATGTGACTGTAAATGCCATCTTAAAGTAACATTAGCCGAGTTCAGCAATTCTATATGTGTGGACATTCCTGCCTTGGGATATAAAGTAAGCTGTCTGTATCCAGCTCACTGCTCCTTCCAGGTAGTCTCATAAGACAGTATCACTGTTGTCATCTCTGGGGTTCTCCCAGATCCTCCATGGGGATAACCTCACTCCAGGGAACACAATAGGCCTGGCCTTCAAGGCCTATTGCAACTTGCTCTAGCCTCCACCACCATAAGAGACAGGATGGCTACAGCCGGCTCTTCTGGGTGCAGGTCCACCTCTCCCTGTCCTCCAGACCTGTCCAGGGCTTTCACTTAGCTGCAGGGGTGGGCTGACAACTCATGGGGCCCCTGTGTCCTGACCCACACTCAAACGACACCCAAAAAAGCCTATGAAAGGTACCAGGGGCATCTCACGGGGCACCCTACTGACCCCGTCAGTACCCAAGTGCCTGAATGGTCAGTCTGCCCCTGCTTAGCTGACCACATCTGCGTATTGGTTCGGTCTCTGGCTTCCATGCCGTGACTGCACTAGGGCTCCTCCCAACCTGGCTTATATATGGGCACTGACCACGACATCACTACAGGAGGGCTGTAACTAAAATGAACCTAGCACCTGATTACTTTATTCTCGTGGCAAACAAGCAAACTGCAACAGCTTATAAGCCTTCCAAATCAATTTGGCCTCTCTGGAAATTATGTGTTCAATTTCATTGGGATGCATGGAAGTGAGATCTAGATGTATGCAACCATAGTCTGCTAGAAACACTTTATTTACTACCTTATTCTACAAATCTCCAGATTTCCAGAAACCAGATTTTTTTTAGACTTTTTTCAGATTTTTTTATAGGTGTACACAGCAGTTTAGTTGCTTTTTGTAAACCAGTGACCATGGTATTCTGTAAGCACTCAGGAAAATGTTCCCTACCGTCATTTTGTTTTTTTATATCTTGTCCAGAGTATCAGCTGATTAATCACTTGACCCCCAGACCAATTCTGACATTCCTCTCTTACATGTAAAAATTTGAATTTTTTTTTTGCTAGAAAATTACTTAGAACCCCCAAACATATATTTTTTAAGCAGAAGTCCTAGAATATAAAATGGTGGATGTTGCAATATTTTATGTCACACAGTATTTTTCAAATGCAATTTTTTGGAATAAATACACTTTAATGAAATTGAATGCACAATGTAATACCAAATAGTTTGGTAAAATATAAAAGATGATGTTACACTGAATAAATAGATACCTAATGTGTCTGGCTTTAAAATTGTGTACGCTCCTGGAATTGCGACAAACTACGGTACTTATTTTTTTTATCACCATCTGTGTCCCGTTGCAGAGATTTCCCTTCACTTTCTGTCCCATAGCCAAACAGTAAGCAAGAGGAAATCCCTGCAAATTAAAGGAATTCCTTGGGGACCCCCAGGTCACCAGAACTAGTGTCCCCATTGGAAGATTTCCCTCTATTACATGTCTGGGGACAACACAAAATTAGGGATTTTCTTTAACTTTCACTTTGATGATGATATGTTGAATGATAATGGTAAACAGGACAAATAGAGAGGGTGAATTGCCCTAACAGGGATACAGACAGCAATAAAACATGAAAGGGGTTCTAATCCTTCTCCACTCTATTCACAAGTAAAAAAAAAGGTTTAGTTGTTAGTTATACTCAGAATGAGCAAGTGATCAACATGTGTCTGTGCTCTCCCAGGTTAGTGACATTTTGTTTCTCTGTCTTCAGTTTTGTGTTTGTTCATTTGGAGGGATATTTGAACTGGCCAAACTTTATTCTTAACTATCAAACTATCTAAAACAAAAAAAGTGTTAAATTAATACTATATAAAATGTATCAACAAAATATTCACTTTCAAAATATTGTGCAACTCATGTTGCATCTAAATGACGACATATGTCGAAACATGTTAGGTAGAGCCACGCTCTGAATGAAGTTCCCGCAGCCTGTGTTTGCGACTGGAGCCGGTGGCTTTACTTGTATATGCTCTTGCCTCCTTAGTGTTGGGCATGACACATGGCAATTGAGGTGTATCTCTGATGATTTTTATTAATAAATAATAGATTGTTTTACGCTATGAAGCCGTCCCTTCTGTTTTTTAACATGTTGGCAAATGGTCTGGAACTGTGAGAGTCTTGCAAGTCGGTTAATGAAGAGAGTGGATCTATTAACTCACCGTTGGTTGTTAAAGATTGCATAGTGCTCCAACAAGATCTGAAGTGGATTGCATTGTGTATGATGCCTTTTAAAGGAACAAATTTTACTTTGTATTTTAAGTTGTGTTGAAAGAAGTGAGCCATTTACTTGAAGAGGTGAAGGACACTGGATGCTTTGACATCACACCTTTAAGCAAAGTGTTTTTTGTACAAATATATATATATATATATATATATATATATATATATGCCGTATTTTCCGGCGTATAAGACGACTGGGCGTATAAGACGACCCCCTACTTTTCCTGTTTAAAATGTAGAGTTTGGGCTATACTTGCCGTATAAGACTACCCCTCTTCCCTTGGTGTCAGTGGGAGGATTAGTGTCCCATTATTGATATCAGTGGGAAGAATCGTGCCCCATCATTGGTGTCAGTGGGAGGAATAGTGCCCCATCATTGGTATCAGTGGGAGGAATAGTACCCCATCATTGATATCAGTGGGAGGAATAGTGCCCCATCATTGGTATCAGTGGGAGGAATAGTACCCCATCATTGATATCAGTGGGAGGAATAGTGCCCCATCATTGGTGTCAGTTGGAGGATTAGTGCCCCATCATTGGTGTCAGTGGGAGGAGGAATAGTGTCCCATCATTGGTGTCAGTGGGAGGAATAGTGCCCCATTATTGGTATCAGTGGCAGGAATAGTGCCCCATCATTAGTATCATTGGGGGGAATAGCACCCCATCATTGGTGTCAGTGGAATAGTGCCCCATCTTTGGTGTCAGTGGGAGGAATAGTATCCCATCATTGGTGTCAGTGGGGGGGGGGGGGAATAGTGCCCCATCGTTAGTGTCAGTGGGGGGGAGGAATAGTATCCCATCATTGGTGTCAGTGGGGGGGGGGGGGGGGGAGGAATAGTGCCCAATCGTTGGTGTCAGTGGGGGGGGGGGAGGAATAGTGCCCCATCGTTGGTGTCAGTGGGGGGGAGGAAAAGTGCCCCATCGTTGGTGTCAGTGGGAGGAATAATGCCCCATCATTGGTATCAGTGACAGCAACGATGGGGCACTATTCCTCCCACTGACACTTGCTGACCCCTGTTCCAGTACGGTGCTGCTGCAGCCAGCATATGTGGTTGCAGCAGCACCTAAGCACGGCACACTTACCTGCATCTCCACTCGATTTTCGCGGGGCCGCTCAGCTCCGCCTCCTCGCCGGTGATTGGCCGCCTGTGTGCCTTTCCTGAGCTACAGTTCTGGCGGCCAATCACCGGTGAGGAGGCGGAGCCGAGCAGCCGCGCGAACATCCAGTGGACGAACCGAAGGAAGGAGCAGCCGCGCTTCCTGGACCGGATCGTCGTGGGACCGGAGCCAGGTAAGAGATAGCAGCCCCTGCCCACCCCTGTACTTAGTTTCCCTTCTGTTGGAAGAAGGGGGGGGGGCGGCGGCACCGTGCCGCCCCCCCTAAAAAGTGTCAGCATGCCGTTACCGGCGTATAAGACGACCCCCGACTTTTGAGAAGATTTTCAAGGGGTAAAAAGTCGTCTTATACGCCGGAAAATACGGTACATATATACACTATATTACCAAAAATATTGGGACGCCTGTCTTTACATTCACATGAACTTTAATGGCATCCCAGTCTTAGTCTTAGTCTGTAGGGTTCAATATTGAGTTGGCCCACCCTTTGCAGCTATAACAGCTTCAACTCTTCTTGGAAGGCTGTCCACAAGGTTTAGGAGGGTGTCTATGGGAATGTTTGACCATTCTTCCAGAAGCGCATTTGTGAGGTCAGGCACTGATGTTGGACGAGAAGGCCTGGCTCGCAGTCTCTGCTCTAATTCATCCCAAAGGTGTTCTGTCGGGGTGAGGTCAGGAATCTGTGCAGGCCAGTCAAGTTCCTTCATCTCAAACTTGCTCATCCACGTCTTTATGCACTGGTGCGCAGTCATGTAGGAATAGGAAGGGGACATCCCCAAACTATTCCCACAAAGTTTAGAGTATGAAATTGTCCGAAATGTCTTGGCATGCTGACACCTTAAGAGTTCCCTTTAGTGGAACTAAGAGGCCAAGCCCAACCCCTGAAAAACAACCTCACACCATAATCCCCCATAATCTTCCACCAAACTTTACACTTGGCACAATGCAGTCAGGCAAGTACCGTTCTCCTGGCAACCGCCAAACCCAGACACGTCCATCAGATTGCTAAACAGAGAAGTGTGATTGGTCTCTCTAGAGAACCTATCTCCACTGTTCTAGAGTCCAGTGACGTCGTGCTTTACACAACTGCATCTGACACTTTGCATTGCACTAGCCTTAAATGCAGCTTCTCAGTCATGGAAACCCATTCCATGAAGCTCTCTACGCACTGTTGTTGTGCTAATCTGAAGGCCACATGAAGTTTGGAGGTCTTTAGCTATTGACTCTGCAGACAGTTGGCGACTTCTGCGCACTGTGTGCTTCAGCGTGCGCTGACCCCGTTCTCTCATTTTATGTGGCCTACCACTTCAGGGCTGAGTTGCTGTTGTTCCCAGTTGCTTCCACTTTGTTATAATACCACTAACAGTTGACCATGGAATACTTAGTAGAAAGGAAATTTCACGTATGGGCTTATTGCACAAGTGGCAACCTATCATGGTACAACGCTTGAATTCACTGAGCTCCTGAGAGCGACCCATTCTTTCACAAATGTTTGTAGAAGCAGTCTGCATGCCTAGGTGCTTGATTTTATACACCTGTGGCCATGGAGATGGTTGGAACAGCTGAACCCAATGATTTGGAGGTGTGTCCCAATTTTTTTAGGCTATATAGCATGTGTGTGTTTATATATATATATATATATATATATATATATATATATATATATATATATATATATATATATAATTTAAAAAAATTTTCTACATTTATTACATCTGATGGTGGACATTAGGGACTTTGTTTATTTGGATTTAATAATAATTATTAAGGGCACACTGTGAACTGAGTTGCACAATATTTTGAAAGTGAATATTTTGTTGATACATTTTATATAGTATTATTTTAACACTTTTTCTTGTATTGGATAGTTTAACACGAGATTTTAGTGTGGCCATACACATACCTGTATTTGTTTATTTGCACACTCCACAGTGGGATTTATTTACTAAAGCTGGTACACTCAGAATCTGGTGCAGCTTTGCATGGTAGCCAATCAGCTTCTAACCTCAGCTTGTTCAGTTTAAGCTATAGCAATAAACCCTGGAAGCTGATTGGTTTCTATGCATAAGTGCACAAGATTCTGAGTGAACCAGCTTTAGTAAATAAACCCCAATGAGTTTAGTGACTGCAGCTGCATAATTATTTATTAAATCTTTGGCGCAGAGCTTTTCACTTTTATTCTTAACTAGCCAACATATCTCTTCTCAGAGTCCATACAAGCTATGTGTTTCATTAATGTCACATGCTATTGTGCACACTGGGTCAATGCCGACCTTTCATTTTGAATGGGCTGGCAGTGCAATTTAAAACATGAAAAACTGGATGTGGCCCTTTTTTTCTGGGGAAATGACACCGTGGAATACCAGCAACATACAAAATTACACTGCATAAAACAATTGCATTATTTTATTGTGCTGGGGCAAAATAACATGATTAAATAGTTCCATATTATTTGAATAATCTTTGGAAGTGAATTCATACAAAACCTAAATTCATATGCAGGGTTTGAATTCACTTCTAAAAATGTTTGGGGGTTGTTTAATGCAGCAGTTTATATTTAGTTTGTATTGACAGGTAATTTTTCACTTACGGTAGTTAGATTAGCCCGGAGTAGGGGTTATTTTTATTATTTGAATAATCTATAAAATATATCATCCTTGATTTTCAAGTAATGTAATGCTAATAATACTACCAGTTTGATTTATGATCTATTTTTCAGAATATTCTATTGTTTGGTCAATGTTCATATTTCTTGTCTGCATGCTACATATTGTGTTCATCTCAGAATGTTCCCCTTGGGGATTCCAGCTAGACTAGTGGGCGTGGGATCGCAGTAGATGGCATTTTTATGCACTTTTTATTCTTGGCTTACAACAACATGAGTGATACTGTTTTTCTAGCACATATAGTCCATGTCATTTCTTTTCTGGATTATTTTCTGGAGTGTGGACAGCATTATGATTACATTTTCTATTCAGCTATTTTGCCACTTGACAAAGTGCAAAAAATGACAAAGTACAAAAATGTTCTCAGAAAGGGCACATTTCTCTGCATGCTGTTTTCTGAGAACAAAATGGAGCAGTTCTTCCACACCATTGTTCTTGCTGTTCTTCAATCATGAAAACCTCCATAGCAAAAAGCAAGCAGAAAGGGAAGTGCCCTGAGGACCCATTCACATCACACCCATTCTGCCCACAACCATGCCATTTTTCACAATTTTTTATTTCTCCATAAAACACCTCTGTAGCAAAATGGAAACTTAAATGTAAGATTTGTGTATCAAAGCATACCACGTCCACCTGTTCACAGCCACACTGAGGCATTGTGGTCAACACTTTGTATAACTTTGCATAACCCTTTGGACTCAATGGACACTTTTATGTTAAAATTTATTTTTTGGGATAATTTTAACATTACAAATTCAGGTATTCATAAAAGTTAAAAGATACATTTTAGACAACAAAATCCTAATTAACCTCTTGGCGCTGGCCGCACGCAAATGTGCGGCCTCCCAGCGTCTGGGCCTTGACGCCGAGCAGCCACACATTTGCGTGCAATTAAGAAAAACATAAGTGCTGAGAGCGTGCGCCCTGCACATTCCCAGCACACATGTCCGGTACTCGCGGAAAGATCCCAATCTCCTCTTTCGATCGGGACCTTTCCCGATCATGTGACTACCGTGCCAGCAAATCATGGCAGTCACATGACCCTAAAACCCCGCCCCGCCTCCCAGCTTCTGAAACCCTTAAAGGGCTGGGAGGCACTGATGCCAAGGGGTTAACAAGAATTCAACTACAGGTGAGTCTAATTATTCATTAAATAGGTGTCCAGCAGACAGTTGATTATAAAAGGCGTTACTTAGCAAAGTAAAGCCCTTCCCATTTCATGCTGTCAGTAATGGCACCACATGGAATAGAAATGTCATAAATCCTGAGAAACAAAATAATGTCTTTACATAAGAAAGGTGAAGGCTACAAGAAGATCAGCAAAGCTTTACTTATCCGTCAGAAAATTGTAGCACAAGTGATACAAAAATATAACAAAGATGGATCTGCAACCATCTCAAGAGACATCCATGTCATCCAAGAATGTTAACACCTCGACATGAGCCTCTGATGAGAAGGGTTGAAGAAAAGTCACCATGCAAGTTCACTGCAGTTAGCTAAAGAAGTAGAAAGCTAAACTGGGGTGATTGTTTCCCATGACACAATACCCATGACACTGCAGAGGAATGGCATGCATGGGTGTCATCCACGAAGGAAGCCTCTTCTAAAGCCCATGCTCAAAAAAGCCCACCTAGAATTTGCCAGGGCCCATGCTGAAAAAGAAGAAGACTCCTGGGACTCTGTACTCTGGAGTTATGAGACCAAGATAAATGTTTTTGGAACTGATGGCTTCAAAATTGTATGGTGTTGCAAAGGTGAGGAGTACAAAAAAAAAATGCATGGTGCCTACAGTAAAACATGGTGGTGGCAGTGTCCTCCTGTGGGCCTGCATGAGTGCTGCTGGTGTTGAGGAGCTGTATTTCATTGATGGTATCATAAATTCACAGATGTACTGCTCTATATTGAAAAAGAAGATGCTACCGTCACTCTGTGCCCTTGGTCGCCGTACACTTTTCCAACATGACAGTGATCCAAGACACACATCTAAGGCCACTGTTGCATTTCTGAAGAACAGGGTGAAAGTGATTCAGTGGCCAAGTATGTCTCCTGATTTGAACACCTATGTGGACTTCTGAAAAGACAAGTTGAGCATCACTCTCCATCCAGCATTCAGGCTCTAGAAAGAGATCTTTTTTTTTTTTTAGTCCGCAAACGTGCAACTATAACGAAAAAAACCCGTAAGTGTTCACAAAAAAAGTGCAAGTGCAAAACACCACGCGAAAAAGTGCACTTAGGGGTGTGCTTTTGTCCTACCCCTAAAGGGGCTGGACTGCTACCCTGATCCCCCGGGGCACGAAGCTCCTGACAGGGACAAGGTTCCCATTTGGTTCTCCTGGCCAAAAGGCCTGGTGGACCACCGTTCCTTGTGTCCAGCCGAAGCCGGACACACAGTACTTGGTCAGGGGGCTCTCCCGAAGAGAAAACCCCCTAGGGATCAGGGGAGGAAGGAACCAAAAGGCCACACATCCTCCCCCTAGACTTCAGGGCAGGCCCGAGGACCCACACCCTCCATCCTGTGGAAAAACACACACAAAAGTAAGAAAAAAAGTGACAAAACGTGGGAGTGATAATAAATTAAATAAATAGAAAATAAAAAGGTGGACCATGCCAAATTGTGCACAGACCAGGCCCTGAGGCCTGTAGCAAAAATTGCCCTGGTCCTAGCCAAAAGGCCTGGTCCTAAGGGCGCTTGTGCAAAAAGAGTGAAAGACAGTGACCTTGTGCCATCTTCACACTGTGGGGTCCAACACCCAGGTGTTACTAGTGGCACCCCTGAGGGCGTCTACTCAGGGGGCACTGAGTTTGAGGACTTTCTGCCTTCCCAGCCCCTGGCCAGACAAGGTAGATCTGTCCAAATCAGGAGGTACTGGGTCCTTCAGGTCTTCTCGGGGGAATTACTCACGGGCCCCAGCTTCTAATGGTGGGCACCACGCTTTCTGTCCCCCCGGTACTAGCCTTCCAGACCCCCATCATACAGTGAGGGTACTATACAACAGCCATCCCCGCAAAGCTAGAATGACCAGGAGCACCTCCACTGGACACTGATAAGAACAGATACTACACTTGATCTTACCAAAAGGCCGAGAAGCGAGGCTCTAGAAAGAGATAGTTCTTGAAGAATGGAAAAAGATAAATGTTGCCATGTGTCGCCAACTTGTTCATTCCATGCCTATAAGACTTGGTGCTGTCCTTACAAATTATGGAGATCATACAAAATACTAAATGTAGCAGTTTTTGTTGTGGCGTGTATCAGGGGCGGACTGACAACTCATGGGGCCCCAAACTCAAAAAAGCATATGAAAAAGGTACCAGGGGCATCTCATGGGGCCCCCTACTGACCCCGGGCCCGCAGGCAGTGCCCCAGTTTCCAAATGGTCAGTCTGCCCCTGGGGTGTATTCAATTATGCATCAACTAATTTGAGTAAAACGGAAGATTTTGTAATCTAAGTTATATTATTAACCTTACTTTCATGTAATGAGAGCTAAGCAAATGTTCTATTAAACTCAGTTTTGTCAAAATTTTGGAAATCGTTCTTGTGTTCATTGAGATATTGATTAAAATCGTACTTTTCAAAAGGGGTGTACTAATTTATACTGAGCACTGTAACTAATTGATCATAGACCAACCATTAAGGTCTGTACTTGCATATAGGTGTATCCAATACTCACTCAGATTGTAGGACAGATAGATAAACTGTGATCACTCAGTTAGACCCAGATATGGTAAAAGAAGGGAAGAGCAAACACATTCCCAATAGGAACATATATCTGTGAATTAAAGAGAGGATAAACAATAAGATCCAAAGAAAGCAAACTACAAGCTATCCAGCTTAATGGGAGAGAGCAAAGGC